CCCGCTGGGCAGCTAGCACTACCAGACAGAGCACTACGTACCACTGGACAGTCAGCACTACCAAACGGAGCATTAGGTACCGCTGGACAGTCAGCACTACCAGGCGGAGCGCCAGGTACCACTGGGCAGCCAGCACCACCGGGCGGAGCACTAGGTACCACCGGGGTCTTCGCCTACCGGGCGTGACCCGGTCTGCACACAGGGACTTTCAACATGGGATCAAGCACCTGTCACCAACGCGGATCTTCACCAGCACCAGTCACCACTCTGGTCATCACCATCAGACGCATCAACAACCACCCTCGGGGATCTTCACCGCCAGGCTAACACCAACCGTTGAGAGGATCTAATTCGGAAGATGTCTTGACTAATGGAAGTTAGGAGCAATGGTGGCTTCGCGGAAGACGTGGCAGGTCGTTGTGAAGACGGCTACATCGGCAATGAAGGCCGGCTATGTGTTACAGGCTTTAATATATCCACCCGAGACCTCACAATGTCACGGCAGATCCCACGAGCAGTCACGGCTAGCCTCACGGGTAGTCACGGCTGACCTCGCGAGCAGTCACGGCTGACCTCAAGGGCAGTCACGGCTGACCTCACGGACAGTCACGGGATGACCTTACGGGCAGTCACGGCTGACCTCACGGGCAGTCACGGCTGACCTCACGGGCAGTCACGGCTGGCCTCACGGGGAGTCACGGTTGACCTCACGGGGAGTCACGGCTGACCTCACGAGCAGTCACGGCTGACCTCACGGGCAGTCACGGCTGACCGCACGGGCAGCCTCCGCCGGCTGCACAAATGACATCATCAAGACAATAGTTACGGCTCAACTTGGCCGACTTGTCTGCTCTTTCAGCTGAGTGCGCACTATCCCCGGCAGGAGTTTGCTGCCGGTAACGGGCCAGCCACTATTTTACGTCGCGCGAAGACCTGTGGTCATTGGAGTCGCAATCTACGTCATCGGTTGTAGCCGGGGAACCAAAACACGCTGCTGGCGGGTTGAAAACTCATGCAAGCAATGGGGAAAGGGATGCAAAGCAGAGCAATGCAAGCGCGGAGCAAAGGAGTTTTACCTCGCACTGATGTCGACAAATGTTCGCTATGCATACACTGTACGACCACGAAAGCTGCTCTGCTTACCCTAAGAAGTGTGACACAGTCCTATGACACAGCCCTCCTGTGACACAGCGCTCATGTGACACGGTCTTCGCACATTTACGTCCTCCACTGTGGCCATGATTAAGGTCTTTGCTGTGGTCTTTGTTTTGTTAGCACAGACCTTGACTCACACTGATTTCCTGTTGCACCGCTGGGAAACAACTCCAGACAGGTTGCCAAAATATGACGCGTCAAGCTTCGAGGTGACTGCATTTGATTTCATGACCATGCCTGTCGCTTGGCGGACCGTGTGACCAGCACTGTTCATGTGATAGCTTTCGGCCCTGCCACGACTCGCTGTCGTGAGGGGTCGATTTCCTGTCATCGATGCCCGTCGCTGGTAGACCAACTGGTGCCGAGGCTTACCACAGAGATTGGGTTACCAGAGATCTGTATCACTCACTCATAAAGGAGTTAAAATCAGCCCGCTGCATGATAAACGGGTGTTCCAGAAGAAAATTATATATTTGAATATTTTATGCGTTTCGATATGAAGAGATTCAGTAATTTCTTGTATTTTTTGAGCCTCGAATGTGTGATGCATTATTCTCAGCTCATGGCACTCCTAGATGGTGACTGTAGTTGCAACGACAAGCACTTGCACTGCTGGTGGTGCGGCCAACCGATTGGTGACGCCGTTGGTGGCGGTTTTCTTCTCGTCGAAGCACTGTTGCTGATTAAAGGCTCTCCTGAGTGTGAGCCCAACAATCCACTAATGCATCGCGTGCGCAGATGCCTGCGGGGGATGGATTATCATAAACTAAACACCCAGCGTGGCTAACGCCGGCCCAGAGACGCTGGTGCACGCGAGAACGCCCTCTGGGACGTCTGTCGCAGCCCGGCACCGCCACAGCAGAAGCCGCTCCTACATGGGGGCGTGACAGCCTGTACAGTGCACTACAGTGCGACCCGCTAGTTTATGCATTGCAACCAGAAACGTGCGCTTTCATGTGTATTACGGGTAAACTATAGTCTTTCAGCTCGAGTTTTAAATATGCGTCAGCACTTCCTTCATTCCTTCCTCACCAGCGCAGGGATACAATGGTCCCGGCATGTCGCGTGAGCAAGAGGTGAGATACCAGGGGTGCCACCGGAGTACGTCTTTAGGAGCCCGGGCACCCCAGTAAGCCCACATTTTAACGCTAGGTGTACTGCAAGGCAGGGATAGAGTAAACCCAAAACGGATCAAAATTGTTGGTGAATCACCAAATCCTGTTTGGAAAATGCAACCCATTAGCTCAGATGTTTTTAGCTCTGTATCAAATGCTACTGTCCGCTAAAACGGCGCCTGAATCATTGTCTTATTCCAGTCTGTGTCCGGCGGTTCCTTCTCACATTCTTCCTCTCACTCTTAGCAACAAGCGGAACATCACCGCGACGGGGCAGCAGATTTGGTGAGCTCGGAAGCGGCCGGACAACATTTCCCGGTGGGCTCGGACGCGGCCGGACAACAGTTCCCGGTGAGCTCGAACGCGTTTTGCTGTCGCTGTCCGGTGAGCTCGGACGCGTCTCACCGCCTGAGGTCTGTCCGGTGAGCTCGGACACGTCTCACCATCGGAGGTCTGTCCGGTGAGCTCGGGCACGTCTCACCGTCGGAGGTCTTTCCGGTGAGCTCGGACGCGTCTCGCCGTCGGTGGTCTGTCCGGTGAGCTGGGACGCGTCTCACCATCGGTTGTCTGTCCGGTGAGCTCGGACGCGTCTCACCGTCGAAAGTCTGTCCGGTGAGCTCAGACGCGTCTCACCGTCTGAGGTCTGTCCGGTGAGCTCGGACACGTCTCGCCATCGGAGGTCTGTCCGGTGAGCTCGGACACGTCTCACCATCGGCTGTCTGTCCGGTGAGCTCGGACGCGTCTCACCGTCGGAGGTCTGTCCGGTGAGCTCGGAAGCATCTCGCCGTCGCTGTCCGGTGAGCTCGGACGCGTCTCACCGTCGGAGGTCTGTCCGGTGAGCTCGGACACGTCTCACCATCGGAGGTCTGTCCGGTGAGCTCGGGCACGTCTCACCGTCGGAGGTCTTTCCGGTGAGCTCGGACGCGTCTCGCCGTCGGTGGTCTGTCCGGTGAGCTGGGACGCGTCTCACCATCGGCTGTCTGTCCGGTGAGCTCGGACGCGTCTCACCGTCGGAGGTCTGTCCGGTGAGCTCGGAAGCATCTCGCCGTCGCTGTCCAGTGAGCTCGGACGCGTCTCACCGTCTGAGGTCTGTCCGGTGAGCTCGGGCACGTCTCACCATCGGATGTTTGTCCGGTGAGCTGGAACGCGTCTCACCGTCGGAAGTCTGTCCGGTGAATGTGGCAGCCGATGGCTGCTGATTGCGGTCGTGATACCGGCCAGTCGTGGTTCGCTGACAGCGCAGCCGTGTTAAACACAGGTCTCCAATAGCCTGCGTGGTCGCCGCTTTGTTTCCGTGGCAGTGAGAGTGAAGTGCGGTGAAAGCTGTTTTGTTATGGCTGTCTTGAATAGCCGTTTGGGGTAATTAGCCACCGATATCAATGGTGATTTTTGTTAGCTTTCCATTGCCTTCGCAGCGAGACGCATCGTCGAGCCGCGCTTCGCTCCTTTCCGCTGACTGGTAACCCATCCCCACGTCTTCCCAATGAACACCTCATGTCAGCAGCGGCGGCCGAAAGACACCTGCACTGATCGCCCCCCCCCCCCCCCCCCTGTCCTCCCCTGTCTAACGCAGGCACCGCTCTTCACGTCTTCCCAATGAACACCTCATGTCAGCAGCGGCGGCTGAAAGACACCTCCCGCACCGATGGCCCCCGTGTCCTCCCCTATCTGACACCGCTCCGCCGGCTGGGGCGGCCCATCCCGCGCCGCCCGTCGCCGCGACGCCCCGGGTGCCGGCGTGTGACCAACCGTGACGGCTGCGACGGCTGTGACGGGTTCCGGCGCGGCGGAGCTTCCGCTCGCCGGCCGGCCGTCTGACCGTCGTGGCGTCTTCGGGTGCCGGTCGGCGGCGTCGTGCGTGCGGTCGGCGGACCACCCGCGCCGCGGCCGCGGCCCCTCGTTAGCGACACACACACGGACGGACGGACGCGAGGCGTAATGAGACACCGAGACCCGCTAATATGGGCAGGTCGACCGGCCGATGAAGACGTCGGGCTGCGCGGGCCACCCGGCGCTGGGATGTTTGAGCGGCGGCACAGATTTTCGGCTAAACACGTGAACCGGCCGACATTCAGCTTATAATCTCGTAACATGTGTACAGCAACTGGGGAGCGTCTATATTACACTTCACATCAATGTAAATAGATGTTTACGTGAAAGTCTTCCTATCTCCCGTCCTACTTAATTAGCTCAGTCATTAATATACACAGTCGACTCGTTAGAGAGATTGCAACTTGAACTAGATCGTCCTTGCAACATGTGAAGTACGAAGTAAAATAATGCGCTTGCACCGGAAGTGATCAAAATGGTTGCGCATAAATGCGCAAGCTCGTACACAACGTCGTTGATTTAGTCAACCGTTCTAAGAATCATTCTGTTCGGCATCCATTGGATCCACCAGGCACCTCTTCTGCGAGCCAATAAATAATCAAAACAATACTGCAACAACAATAAAAATACACAGACTAGTGTGAAATCCAGGCGAGGTCCACTGACGTTCACCCACCTCATCCCAAACTGTCCGCCAAACATCTACCGAGTCCAGGACGGGCTGCGTGGCGTCAGGCCGAGTCCAGCAGGCGGCCGCCGCTGCAGCGCGCCGTCCTCAGTTCTGCGAGGTCCGCGCCGCCTACCCTCCGAGCTCTGGCGGACCGCCGCCACCGCCTGCCCTCTGAGCTCTGGCCGACGGCCGCCATCACCAACCCTCTGAGCTCTGGCCGACGGCCGCCACCGCTGGCCCTCTGAGCTCTGGCCGACGGCCGCCACCGCTGGCCCTCTGAGCTCTGGCGGGGCGCCGCTGGAGCGCACCGCTCTCACCCCTGCGACGTCCGCTCCACCTTCCCTCTGAGCTCTAGCGGGCGGTCGCCGCTGGCCGCCCCGCACGGGAGGACGCTGGCCTCTGAGGTCGGCCGGCCGCTTCAGTCCGAGCCGGCTGTGATCTGCGCTCCCGCGCCGCAGGTCGGTTGCTTCCGGTGCTGACTCGTCCCGGGCGCTGCGTGCCGCGCCGCCTCAGTCGTCCTCTTCGACAGGAACAGTGGCGTGGTTGTAGAGCCCCTCCGACATGAGCGACAGCGCCAGCGGGTTCCGCAGGCCCAACGACTTCTTGATCTTGGCGCGCTTGTTCTGGAACCAGATCTTGATCTGCGACTCGTTGAGGCTGAGCTCCTGGGCCAGGTCCTGGCGCCGCTTCTCGGTGAGGTAGCGGTTCTCCTGGAACTCGACCTTCAGCCGCGCCAGCTGCTCCGTGGTAAAGGCGGTGCGTGGCCTCTTCTCCTCTGGCGGCTTCCGCTTCTTGACCTTGCGGCTGCGCGGACCTGCCGGAGGAGGGCCGCCGGTCAGCGCGGCGCCGGACGGGAGGCCAGGGGTCAGGGGTGAGCTGCGGGGAGCAGGGGAAGGCACTGGTTCATACAGGGCGTGGACGAACAGGGTCATGTCCTGGTCTATCCGATGGAACAGTGTGGTGGTGCAGCCTTGGCGGGATGTACTGTAAACTGCTCGTAGGTGGAAGTGCAGCGTGGAGGCGGCAAGCGTGGGCTAGCGGACACCAGATATGTTGATGCACGCATGCACAGGTGTGTAGTAGAAGTTGTGAGTACGTCGGATATTTGATCTGTCATGCATTAACTTAAATCTCTTCTACACCATGAACACGGCTATGGGGAGGTGAGTTTTTTTTTCTCAAACCATTACTTCCTGGCATATTCGAAGTCGGTTATTTTCAATATATGAACTCATAATGCCGAAAGATCCGGAGCAGCAGGCGTTTCTTGATCATACCAAATGAAAAAAGTTTTGTTCTTAACACGAACCCAGCGTGAGTCAACTGCTGCATAACGGTGCCTTCGTTGTGGGCAGCGCTATAGTTTATGGCGTTACGGCCCATGAGGGCAAGCAGGAGTGGTAACGTTGCAGGCGACGAGGATTTTGGGGAGGTGCAAAACGTGGCCTTTTGATGAAAGGCCTCCGCGTGTTGGAGCACCGATCAGATAGAAAGGACCGTTTTGTTGGCAAAATCCTAACGAAGAGAATGATCCACGTGTGTAGTCAGCTTTGAAATAAAATGACCAGTTTGTTATCGACAATGCACACATACATGCACGGTCCCAATTTTTCTACACCCCAGAAGGCCACAGATGAGCTTGACTGAATTAACCGACGACATGTCAGTATCTTGAAACTGGCAATGACTGACTAGTGTCACGTGAACAGAAATCACCACAGCAACGGGCAGAGTCCAGCCACCAATATCTGCTCCTGGTCAGTGATGGCTGGATACCACGCCAAGTGCAGCATGTAACGGGGACAGCATCTTTTTGTAAAATTTGCCCGTGTTTCTATCACTCATTGACGCATACAAATAGCAAAACAATATCTACCATAAGCCTTATCTTGTATCCTCTTGTTCTGATAGCCCTTCAAGGTGAGACGTTCCCTTAATGGCTGTACATAGGAGAGCATGTGCTCTCTTATCGATCAGCCAGCTCTCCAGCCTCCGACTGGAACATCCAAGCCGCGTACAAGTCGCATCAAAAAGCCATCTAACTAGCTCTCCCGCACTCATTCTCCTCTCATATTGTTTATCGTTTGAAAGACGCCCGCACCGTCGTCCTCTGTTGTAAAAACCAGCAACGATTGTTTGTCGACAGTCAAGGTGGCTTTGTCGAAAAGCCTGAAGAATGACTAACGTGTGCTATTCATCGCTGAATGCAAAGTCGTCACTCTCGGTTGAGCCACTTTCTCCGGACCCTCCGGAAACACACTCTGGTCGCTGGAGGGTTAAACGACGGGACGAGAGGGGCCCGTGTCCTTTTGCGGACGGAGAGCAGGCGGGGTTGTTTAGTATTTGTGTGTGGTTTTCGCGCTGAGTGTGCGGTTTCAGTCGTTGCGCTTAGTTTTCAGGTAATTGGCGTGGTATTCGAGACATGTCCCCCCGAACTGTATCATGGATCCCGCCTTGTCCCGTGTCAGGACCGCAGCGATGCCCTGATTCCTGAACGCGACCGCGCCGCTCGGCCAATCCCAGATCTATACCCAGCCTTCTTCCCAGGTACCGTCCCGCGGACCCTCTTTTTCAGTGCTGCGCCCGGCGGTCCTCACGTCCGGCCTCGCCGGCCTGGCTCGCTGGCGGCAGCGACAGCGGGGTGACCGCGCAGACTCGCCGCGGCCGCCGTCGCACCGGTGCCGTGACCCGAGGCGGGCAGCGGCGCCGGCGCGCGGGCGCGTCCTGCCGGCCTCATCACGATCTCATCAGGTGATAGCGGCGGCGCCGCGCGGCCGGCCCGCGGTGGCGCCGGCGGCGCGCCACGAGAGCGGCGCCGCAGAAGCGCGCGCTCCGCCGCGATCTCCCGCCGCCGCGCGCGCCGGCAAATTACCCGCGCGCCGGCGCCCAGCCAATCACAGCGCCGGCTCGATCGCGGAGCAAATGGCCGGGCGGCCGGCGGCGGTAGCGGCACGGCCGCCGGCGCCGGCAGCGGCGGCTGCGTCACCGCAGACGGCGTGGCCGGGTGCCGAGCGGCGCAACGAATGGGAGGTGGTCGGAAATGCCCCATTGGTGGGCCTGATGCCCTGAGTGATCATGCTTCAGCGAGCTCAATTTCATTGAAGCTTGATCCGCAGGCGACGTTTTTGAGAACCTCATTTTCTTGGATGTTGGTGCCAGGCGCGAGGGCACATGTAGTGGGAAAGAGAGACCCTTTTGAGGCTCGGTCTCTCCATGCGTCACCAAGGGTGGTGTTAAGCTTTCACAAAACTTGGGGCATGCCCCCTTTTCCTGCGCCTACCTATCCATGGCCTTGCTTGGTGCTGTAGCCCTTTGTAAGGATGGAATGCGATGCCATAGAATCACTACATGAACTAGACTGACTGTCTCATTCGCGTTACCCCACGTCAACATCCCTCCGCTCCCAGAGTTGGCAGCGCCCCCACACACCGTTCGACTCGCCACTGCGCCCGCTCGGAGTCGGTCTCAAGCGCGTCACGCGCCCGGTGGCGCCCGTCCCGGCGCGAAGGTGTGTGGGAAGCGGCGGCCGGTCGGAGCTCGCCGCCCTCCCACGCGGCGTCACACGGCGCCCACGGCGGAAATTGGCGCGCCGGCGGCGGAAGCGGCGCGAACGATTCGTCGGCGCGCCGTGCGGCCGTGACGGCGCCGTAATCATCACCTATAAAGAATTGAGACGGCGCGGCGCGGCCGGGCGCGCGCGGCGCGCCGGCGTGGGAGCGGCCGGCCTCTCCGTCAGCGGCGGCGGCGCGAGCGTCAGCGCCGCCCGCCACCCGGCGCCGCGCACAATGCGGCCGCCGGCGCATCCATTACGGCGCCGACACCGCCGCCCGGCCCGGAATCAATTACAGTCGGACGCAACCGGCCCAACCTGCGGAAAAGCGCCGCCGCCGCGCATCGGTCAGCGCCGCCGACGGCCGCGCGTCGCGATGGCGACCGACGCTTCGGGGGGAGGGGGGGGGGGGGGGCGGAGCTGGGCCGGCTGGTGTGCTGCGGGCTGGCCGTCGGTCGTCAGGAGATTTGTGGGCATGGTTTGGCCATATTTCGCCGTCCCACGGGCGGTTGGCCACTCACGATTTTCCACATTGCGGCATTCCCGGGCGATCACCAATCGCCTGGTCGATCGAAACCACTTTCTGTTGATTTCTCGTCATGGTGCAAGGTGCTTATTACGGCGTTTGATTTGTTTTCGGCAGTTTCTCTTTTCCGTCTCCTTTATCTACCAGTTGGTGGCGTATTGGACAAGCCACTATCCACCACACATCGTCCCGCCACACAAGCACTCGACACGTCATGCCTACATTCTGACGCAACCGTTGTCGAATGGCTTTGATGGTTGATGAATGGCTAAAAATTGGTGACGAACAGCTTCTTGCAACTTCTTGTAACGTTTAGCTTACCACATGCAAACTGCTTTGGAGCTCAGTTCGCAATTTACAAATGACAAACAACGCAATTCACCTCAATGACAAGAAAATTTTGAATCCACCATATGGGCAACAGCAAAGTGCTGAAATAATCTGTTCGATAGCGTATTGATGATCCAATAATTCGGTTCAATTATCCAATGCTGTTCAAAAAATGTCAGGTGTTTACACTTTTCATGATTTGGATATTCTTTTGGCGTACTTTCGGCCCAGGTGATAAATATACCTATATTTCCTCGACGGCTAAATCTCCGGACGTGGGTTATCCCAGACCTAGCAAAGTTCCAGCGAAGTTTATCCCCGACGGAACTGCTCTGCTCAGCGGACTCTGGCAGGACCTGGCAGGATCTGGTAGGATCTGAACTTTGTCTGAACGTTTCAAAGACGCCGTCACAAGCGTTGTGAACCGAAGAACTCTGTTTCTGACATCAAACACACAAACACCGAAGTTCCACCGACTCGGACTCGCCTTACCAACTCACCCAGCGTGTCCAATATGGACAATATGTCTAACAAAGACTGAATGTCCAATGCGGGCATTTCGTGAATTCTGGCGTACGTGGATCTGCCCAATCTGGGACACGTCTCCTTACAACTAGTCAAAGTGACTCCAACACAGCTGTAGAAGACTCCATTGGACTCGAGCGCGGATCGACAGCGAGCCGAATGCCCCATAGGCTGACACCCAGACTGCATGAGCTGGAGACTGCTCCGAGCTAGCCGAGCCGGCCGGCGAGCTCGAGGACCGTCTGAGTCCGCGTCGCTCGGCGCCTCGTCCGGCTGACCCGCGGCTGACTCGGTGACCCTGTGGGACGCCTCGCCGACGGCTCGATGTGCCGCGTGGTCGCGCTGAAGCCCGCTCGATAACAGGCTGTCACTTCGGCGCCGCGCCGCGGTGGCTCTCTCTCTCGAATGAGCCGGCACCAACGGGGCGTGTTTTTACCGCCGGCCACGTGACAATCGACACAAAAGCGAGCGGCGTGACTTATAATCAACACGTCACGCCGAATGGAGGTGATAGAATGTTTGTTTTTGTGGCGTGCGCTTGCCCATCGACCGCGCCTGCCGGTCGCCCGGCCGGCTGAGCCCATTTGGCAGCGCCCTATCGGCTGTCCGATTGGCTCCGCTCGGCTCGCGAGCCTCCCGCGAGCCGAGGTGGAACAGGAACGCGGCCCGCAGAGAGACGGCTAATTTGCTCGTCTGACTGCATAGATAAAGGGAGATCGCTGCTGCCGCCTTTTTGCGGCTGATATCTTATCCCATGCGCTCGCTATGCCTTTGTTTCCGCATCCCCTGTCTTCCCCACGCTCTTTCTCTCTCCCTCTTTCTTTCTCTCTCTCCTCTCTCTCTCTCTTTCTCTCTGCTTCTTTCCCTTCCTCTCTCTCTTCTC